ACGGTCCGACGTAGAGACGACGTACGTAGTTCTCTCACATATATATATATATATATAGAGAGAGAGAGAGAGAGAGAGAGAGAGAGTCCACACGCCCCCTCCCCCTCCTTCCCCACCAAAGAGAAAAAAAAAAACACCCACACTCAGGCGCACAGATAGACATATCCAGAATTAAGAAAGTTCCAATTCATTCCTTTTTTCCCCCTTGAAGGCACTTGAGAGTTGAGACATTCAAAAGAGAAGAATAGAAATATATGTTGATCCCTTTAATTTCTCTCTCGGAATATGTTTCCTTAAATTATCCTCTACGGAGATGTGAAAGGGGCAGGCAACTAAATGGGTTATCACGGAGATACTTTCGTTTTGCGACATACCATGTGGTGTTGAATGTTCCAATATAAAATCATGCATTGGATTAAGTCTTCACAACCTCACCAATCTTTTTTCTTTCTTTAAAGTTATTTTAGAATTAGTTTAATTTCTTCGTCCTTTGACTGCGACTGCTGATGAGTTTGCACAATAGAAAATGATGTAGTTTGCTTGAGTGTTTATTTCAGTTACAATCATGCAGTATGGGCTGAAATTGTTTATTATTAGGCCCAAAGGAAATAGCAACTCGTTTCATTTCTTTAGTTTTGTCATTTCTCTGACACTTTCAATCTAGTGATATTATATTCTTTGGTTATTCACCTATTCATCTTTGAATTTCTCGACTATATTGAAAAAGAAATAGACAAGAACTTATGTTCTATCTTCTTTATTGCTTCAGGGTTGCATATCGCCTAGATGTGTTACCAGAGGTTATTTCCTATGAAAAATGGTTGCAGTTGAAGCCAGGATCTAAATTTGGCTTTTCTAATTGGATGAAGGATGCTTTTCTAGGAACCAAAAAAGATATTCAGAATGGCCTGGATCAAAAGCTTCATTTTGTTCTTGGCTCAGCTCCAATGTGGGATAGGTTTGTATATATCTGGCCCTTCACGAAATTTTGTTGCATACTTACATTATAAATGTGACTGTATTTTAGTCAGCATGGCTATTTTTTGGGATTTGTTAGCAACAGGTTAGTGGCGAAAGCCCCGCAAAAGGAAAGCCAATAGCACTGCAGTGCTAGTTCCTTACATTAAAAAATATTGTCAGAAGCCTTCTTATCTGTCTTTTCTTTTTCTCTCTCTTGATAACTACAAGGTCACAAACTTAACCCATTCATCTCATTTGTGGATGTAGTTGGAGTTCCATTTGCTTCTCTATGCCAATTTGCCTTCTTTTTGCTAAATTGCTGAATTGTTACTATTCATCTTTGACTTATTATTTTTTAATGGCTAGCTTGTTGTAGGACTGAAGGGTTCATTCCTACATGAGTGTGACAAAGGTTTGGTGGGCTATTTGAAGGTTTAGGGTCAGTTGAGTATAAAGTAGTTTAAGGTGTCCCATATTAGGGTAGGTGTGGTTTATAGGAGACCGCAAGGAGGTAGGACATGGCGAGGTCTATGGGATGATTGGCTGAGGTTAAGGTAAAGTTTAGGTATCGAATTAAGGAGTCTAATGGAACTTAAAATCTCTAAATTTTTTACAGTCTAGTAAGATTGGAGGATGCTGAGATGGATTCTAGGACTGAATAAAAGCAAATCTGGAGTTGAAACTTGAGCTTGAAAGCTATGGACAGTATTTGTTTATATGGGGGTTGTAATAAGGTAGATTAGTTGAGGTTTGGAATGGCTGTGCTAGGGTTTATTGTACAGTTTGTATCGGTAACGAATTTGGTTATGGGGATGTGCCACACAATAGGAGAAAGAAGAAGTGCCTAAGCTTACATGTGGAGAACATCTGATCTACAAGTTAGGGTTTTGGCGAATCTCTCCACCAGATGAAGATGAGGGGCTCTAAACTTTGGGGAAGACCCTCCCAAACCCCTCCTAGAGCACTAAAATAACTCTCCAAAATATTCTTTAAAGTTGGCCTCTCAGCACAATTAAAACCTGAGTTTTCTTACTCAACTTGAATATGAACTGGCCATAAGCCAACATGGGTATTCATATAGGTTTGGATCCCTCTTTACTTAGTTCAGGACTCAAGCTATCTCTACTTTCCTAAACATCCTGATCTCCTAAAATCTTTTAGAAGTAACTAGTTCGTTTGTAATTTCAAGAAACTAGACCCTTGGAGAACATGGAAAGAATCTTTACAGACTTTCGACAAAATTAGGAACATCCTCATCATCTTAGCCTTATTCTAACTATTTGAGGTCGGCTACACGAATCCTATTCCACCATTTCACTCTGTCAAGGGCTTTATCCTCAATCCAGTTGGATTTTGATTCATGAGAGGGATGTTACAAAAGTTTTCCCTTGGCTACCAACCTAATACAACCCTCCTCCTTTCTCATTTGGGTTAGGATCATAACTCACAAAATAAGGAAGGAAACAGCTTGCTAAAACTTTAAAGACTCTGAACTTTCTAGTATATAGAGCCCATAATCTTCTAGAAGGTTGATATTTCTAGAAGATTTCCTATGTTCTCCAGCCTAGAGTTTCTAGAATTCAATAATGGAAAGAAAAAAAGATAAAACACTTTAGAGAAATAATTTATTAAAATCATCATTGATTTTTCTAGGGGGCTCCAACCACAATTTAAAGCCCAAAATGTTTGAATTACTAGAAGGGTGAGATTCACGGTAAGGTGCACCCCAAAATCTCATGATAAGATGTATTATGGGCGCCGAAACTCTTATGATCATGAAATTGAAAGCTCCATAACTAATGGACGGTCTTGATAATGTTACAACATGTATTATTATTTATACTTGGAATTCAATTTTTCTTTCATATTCATACATATCGAAGTGGAGATGATCAATTGGAGGGTTTTTTAATGACGAAAAAAACTTTTCCGATGAGTTTTGAGGTGCACCTTACTTTTACAATATAAGGTTGACAACTTATATAATCTTTTTCCTTACTAAAAAGTAAAAACCAATGTTCAACAAGGCGGATGTGCCCAAACACAAAGGCGGCCTCCATTTGGGGGAGGGGCAACCTTGCGGATGGTTGGACCCCCCACACCTCCTCCCCCCCACCCTCTTTATTGTATATAGAATTAGCATTTTTATATTTCATAAGTAAGTTTTGTATATAGTATATTGTTAAGAAGTCAGAAGTACAAATCCAACATAAACATACACGACTTTAAACTGTAAATGAAATAGTTAAAACTCAAAAACAACATTAAAAGATTAAAGCAACTTGAGATGTCCTTTAAATCTCACAAGTCACAAATCACAACAGATACTCATTAGTCATATAAAAAAAGTCACATCCAACAATTAAAGGCCATAAACTACAAAAAGTAATCTTCTTCACCCCACAAATATGATGAACTCATGTATGAGGTTGAGTTTCATTATCGCTAGCATCAATATTGCAATGATATAACACATGAAATCGAAAAAACATATTACTCATGCAATTATTTAATAAGCAATTGTAAAACTAACTCATTAAAAAAAAAATTATGGGGATAAGAGTTATGGTTTCTGAATCATACACGTAAACTCATGATTAAATTTAAAAAAAGAAAATTTGTTCAGTTCGGGGGCAGTGGACTTTTTCCATTGAATTTCTTTCCCAAATACCCAAAATAAATATCAAAATGGGAAAATAGTGTGTGAATAATAATCCAAATAGTTGATAACATATCAAATGTATATCATAAATTATGAAAAAGAAAATACAAAAAGTAAAGAATAACATCATAAGACATTGTAAACAAAAACATTTACATAACCTAATAAAAAATATTGAAATATGCCAACCTTCTTGAAATAGAATCAATATCGGCCGAAACCGGAACGTTTTGGTTCCCAAATCTCCTCTTTTACAACCACTATAAGCTTAAAAAGATTGGGGATGAATATCCTTTAATTTCATGAGCATTCGAGGAGGTTGAAAAAATTTTGTTCTGTCTACAAATCTTCAAATTTTGTTTTTTTCAATGTTTTCTCACTTTAAACCTCACTAAAAATGTTTTGGGGGGTGAGAATGGCCCCTAAAACCTTTTTTTCCCCTTTTTAGGGGCAGAAATAACAAAATTACCCAATGACTGAGGGGCATTTTTTGCCCTCAGTCTCGATTATTTGAGGTGGAGCCTAGGCGCCTGCCTTTTATGCCACCTTGATGCACCCGCCTAGAGCATTCCACCTAGTCCACGCCTAGGCGGTTTGTGAAAATGGCCGCCTAGGCCGCAAGGCAGATTTTTCTTTCATTGCTGAAAACCCATAGAGATGAGTGCCCAAGATCAAAAGAGATCTTCAATCTGGGCTTTGGAGCAACCTGGATTAACATCTGGTTGAAAAGTTACGTCTGCAGAAAGCGGTCCGCATCGTATTTTAACTGAGCTATTCTTTTTCTGATAAATATGGTTTAACTGAGCTTTTGAATCAAAAGATAAAGTTCAGGGGAGTTGTTGATTTTTGAATTAGCTAAACAATAGTAGATATATTTTTCCAACCCATGCCCCATTGTACATCGTCTTAAAGTTATATTTGCCATACCCATAATTTAATTCCCCTTCCTTTACTATTATCGTTGATGAAATCCATTTGATGTACAGGTTGGAGCTTAATGGAAGCAGACAACTTCTTGGAAAATTTGAAGGTTTCAAAGGGAAGCAGGAAGATATGCAAACTCTGCAGATTGTGAAGAGGTCCAAAGTGAGCAAGGTGTTAGTCATGAAGTCAACAATGTTTGGGTTTCTAGGTATCACCTACATAGTCTATTATCCTGACTATTAGAATACAAATGCATACACACATGCATGTGGGCATGCACACACACACACTACATTGTATGATCTTATACCATATTAATTGTTTCTAGGAAATGCTAAAACTATGTAGGGTTTGAGAAGAGAAAACCTTGTTCTCAATAAAGTTTAATTTATGCAACATGAGGAAACTAGAATATTCAAGTTAGTTAAAGCATTAGAAGTTGTAGAGACTAATTACAGTGAAGAGAAAATTGGACTGGAAACCACATTCTTGGTGTGTCCACCATCATGCATCCTTCTAAGCTCATGCAGTCATGCTATATATATCCACGAAGAACATGCAACAGGATTCCATTTTCTAGATTTGTGGACTTGCTGTTTTGAAGGCTAAACAACTCTCCATGATTTTAAAATATATTTTCCCTCTTCTAGGTTCCATAGTTCAATGTACCTACATTCCAGAAAATGCTGAAATCATGCAATCATTTTGGAAATTTGGATTTGATGCTTCTTAGGTTCTTATAATCCTGTAATTTCATGCTACTTACAATTTCTCATCAATAGATTGGAGCAGAGAGACTCCTTGATCTGATCTTCTTGATCAAGAGAAAGTATATGTTTTTATGACAACTATTGTCTGCTAAGCGGCAAAACAAAGCCCCATTGAATTCTGCAAAATCTAGAACTATTATATTTATGTTAAAACAACATGGAGTTTCACTTCCAATAGAATTCCTTGGTTTTGACACCTTGTGATGTTCGCTTAAATAGGGCGAAAATTGCATGTGCTCTATACTTTTCGTGATTATCGAGGGGAAAGCGGATCTGCATCAGAATGGAAGGAGTGCACTGTGAAGCCAAATATGGAGATATTGTTCCAACCAAGGGACACAAAGAAAACCAGAAAGCTCAGGCTTGCATCAGTTGTATCTTTGTCACTCAGTGCATGAGAGTCACTCATAGAGTTTCAAGCCTCTACTGGCAAAGTTGAAAGCAGTCATTTCATTCTTACTCCTCAGAGTAGCCAACATGTATATTTGGTTGAAAAAGGAAGCAATGAGAATGAAATCGAGTAAATCCTGGAGTGCTCATGCGTTTATATGAGGTTTTATTACTAAAAATGTATTAAGAGTGTGATAATTTTCTTGCATCAGAAATGAAGAAGTGGGAAGAAAATGTAACATTATGGAATGAAGGTGATTCCGAGGAATCCTTTTCTCTCCCCAGTGTATCTTGAATTTATTAGGTGATGCTCTTAAAAGACTTTTTTTTTTCCTTCTTCTTTTGAATGATATAAAAGATAAATTTCATGTTTTTGTTATTACTGGAAGCTGATGCATGACCATCTGAACTTGGACGTCAAATGGACTGTAGGAATTTTAGAATGGCAGTGATGTCTAGCTTAAGTGTACTCTTTGATTGCGATTTTGGGTTGTAAAATTTAAGGACTGGTAATTAAAATATGAATCAGCTTAGTCCTGGCTAAACTGCAGATAATTCTAAGCAAAACGTTTTGGGTGCAGTTGCAGCGGACTGCACTCAAAACCATGATGCTGCAAGCATTTCACCCCATTTTTCTGTATGGTTATGGACCCTAGCTTTAAGAGTATATTTGTGTAGTGTCGAGTATCACAGTTTTGAAAAAAAATGGATTTGGCACTTCAAAAAAGCTGTCTCGACTGCCATCTCAAAAACTGATCCGAACCAGCCATGTCACTTGATAGTAGATCGATCAAACTGGAGCCTTTTAGAAGCTCTGAATCCTTTTCTTCTGTGGAAAACAATATGAGGTGCTATAATCCAGGGCATAACTATCATGATGTGGTTTTTAAAAAGGGCGATGGATCAACTTTCCCCTCTTAAAAATGTGCACGTCTTTCCTCTCTAAAAGTGCCTTACATTTGTCTTCTTTTGTTTCAGACGAAGTTAAGTATAGAGGAGCAAGGCTCCAGAATTACAAGACGTTACAAGATGACAAAATAAAGAAATGCAATTCTCTATTTCTAAAGGTAACCCTTCAAAACTAACAATGCACAGACATCCCTCACCCCCAAAAGGTCCCCCCAACTATCCCTCACCCCCAAAAGGTCCCTACATCGCCAACTACGCATGGACCTCTCTGGCTTCTTCTATTCGACCCAAACCTTACATTAAAACCTCCAAAAATCTCTAACCCATTAACAATAACCTCTCCAGCTAGGGTTAGGATCATAGTTACCAAGAGCGCCCAACTAAGGTGCCGCTCCTCCTTTGGAACCTAGCGCTGACGTTCCGTGTACGGAATCTCATTCGGAACCCGTTTCCAACTTTTTGGAAGCTTGCTCATATTTTTAGGATTTTTTATCCCATTTACAGTGGAGCTCGTTCTTGCTACTGCGTGGATCTCACCTCATTGTCCCATGGAACGCGTTCTTGAACAAATTATATCCCCACTCCTAGAATTTTTAGGATCGTGATCCCCACGTTCTTAGAACTCCATCTTTAGAGAGGATCCCACCATGAACAAAAACAGAGCCACCCACCATTAAAACAATAGGTTATTAGCTAAAAAACACGTAGAAATTGGGCATCCATGACTCAAAGCATGGGAATACGATCCCATTTTATATGAAACGCATTCCCTTTAAATAAGACCTCGATCCCTGTGTATAAAAAACGTACTCCCTGTTCATACGAGATCTCGACCTGCAATTTTTACCGTCACCGAAACTCGCTCCCCAAGCTCCGGAGCTTTAGGCAGCCCTTGATCCGATGCTCCAGCTCCCGGAACCGAAATCATTCCCTCTCCTGCTCCCGGTGACTAAGGTTAGGACAACCCACCAACTTGCACTTTAGATGTGGTCCAGGAGAAAATCGGTAAAAGCATGGTGGCATCCAAGTGAGGATTGATGGCCAACCAACGGCTGTAAAGAAAGGTGTAAAACAAAGGTCGGAGGGAGGTATGAGAGAGAAAAGGACAAGGAGAATGACGACTGAATAAAAAGACAACGAGAAAGTCGAGAAAAAAAAACAGCAACGGAGAAGGCAACTTTATCAACCATCCAAGTTACTATATTAGATCTCACACAAGGAGATCGATGCTTATAGAGAAAGCTTTAACATCTACAACAGTGCTTGTACAGGCCCACTAAGAGGCTACTCCTTATCTTGGGGATGTGAAAAATACGGGGAGCCTCTAGACCCGTAAGAAAAGCCTAGTGGGAACGAGAAGCCCCTCAACAGGGTACTTTATCCCTAATAGAGGGAGGGTAAACCCCGTCTTAGGGGTTCACCTTTTCTTGAAAAGTTGACAGTCGACGAAGAGAGAGAAAGGTTGAAAGCAAAGGAGAAGGCCATAGAGGTAAGGAGGGGGGCGGAAAGAGGGAGAAAGGTGAAAAAGACAGACAGAGAGAGAGAAGAGGTTAATTTACAATGGCACTAAATTATCGTTTTTTTAAAAAATCTTGACAATAGACGGTCCAAAAATACGTTACAAGATGTACAATTTTTAAGATTTGAAATTAATTTTTTTTCTCATGTCCATGCATATTGATGTCGAGATGATCAATTTGAAGATATTTGGACATCAAAACAATCTATTCTAATGAAGTTTTTGAAGTGAACTCTAATTTGATTATTTAAAGCCTCGGTTCTATATAAACATTTTCCTTTTTTAAAAGGGAGTACTTAAAATAGTATTGATCTATTTGGAAATTTTATACTGCATAATGTTTCCAATATTTGCTTCAAATAATATAAATTTATAGAAAAAGTAACTTAAATCCTCGAATCACATTACAAAAAGGTGGTCACGTGATTTTAAATACCACTTCAGTATTTACTTCCAAGTTTTATTCCATTTACGCATTCAAAGATTCCACTTGCCCCTGATAAAGTTTGGTAACCTCGAACAACTATAATTATTTTTTATAATGTGGGCATCATTTAAGCTCAAAGTTTTAAAAAAAACATTTCGAACTTTATGATACACTTAAGCTATTAAATTTTACATAAGATGATTATAAGTAGCTCAAAGTTTAAAAAAAAATTTTCAAACTTTATGATACACTTAAGCTATTAAATTTCACATAGAATGATTATAAGTAAATGTGACTTACCTAACCAAAAGTAAATAGTCTCATTATACAATCCCTAACGATAAATGCCAGTATGCCACTAGTTCTTCAAGGTTAAGACTACTTTTACTCAAGGGGAATGCAAGGCCGGTCATATTTTTAATTATTTAACCATCGATCAATTAGTGGTTGAGTTAATATCGCCACCCATGTTCCTGAAAACAAGAACGCTAACCAAAAATCAAGTGGATGTCCTCCCAAAAAATATAAAATGTTGAACGGTAAACCTTTATATACTATTTTAATAAGATATCACCCCAAAAATATAAAGAACTACATAATGACATTTTTATTTTTAATAGTAATTTAGCGGTTCACAATATAGCGATAATTAAACTTTGAATTTAACATATTCTACATTTAACGTATTTGTTAAAAAACTTTGGACTATTAGTATGTCAAATAATTTGATAGCTTGAGTGTGTTATAAAGTTCGAAAAATTTTCTTTAGAATTTAATGCTTGGTCAATGGAATAAATACAACCACCCAATTTCACATCTAAAGGTTTAGATTAATTATGACCACCTTGTACAAAAGATAATGATCTCATTGTTTATTTTTCCATAAACATAAATAGAAGTTATTATCTCTATGGGCAACGCACTGTACAAATTAAATACTTTCAATTTATTTGGATAGAGCATAATGAGACCAATAAAATTGTATCCAGCTATATCCAAACAATGTGCAAAATCATGATATTAGTGTCCACTCTCTTCATTTTTTTACCAATGTTAACAACTTTGTTAATCAAAGAAAAGAATTACAGGCGATTTACATTGTCATGAACCTCAATCAAAGACAACCGCACCCCTCTCTCAGCTAAAGAATCAGACCAAGCGTTTGCTTTCCTAGAAACATCTCAGTTATTTAGTATGTGATAATGAAAGTATTAGTATAGAGTTCACCCATGCTATTACAAGTTCCCTTTTAAAATTGTTCAATATGATATAGAAATATAAATGAATCCTCTCTTAAAATTCTATTTTTCAGAAGGATTTTTTAACCAACTTTTTAGGAATTTATGATCTCTAGTATGAAGATCACTAATATGTAAAAATAAATAAATAAATTTTAAAAAATAAAATGATAAATTTTTTAAGAAAATATTTAGATCATTGGTTTTAATTTTTTAAGAGGGATCACCCATTTGTGTCCAATCTTTAAAATGGATGTCATATGCCTTGGGGGCCCAAGTGTAAGAAGCATCCACTCACGCATAAAACAATCTTCCTTTAGAAAATCATAGCTTGTTGTATAAAAATCATAGGAATATGTACATGTCCTCAAAATTACGGTTCTTTAATATGGAAAATTGTTTCATGCGGGCTGACCATATTTTTACCTATGACAAAAGGAAAATCTTAAAGATGGATGCGCATAGGTGTTCCATTTAAAAACAATCGAAACTAAATGGTTCAAATGTTTTTTTACTAGAATTATTATTTTAAATTTTTAAAACTTATTTATTTTTTTGGTATTCATGATCTCCATGTTAGAGATTATATGTCCTTAAAAATTAAGTCTTAAAATTCATCTAAAAAATAGATTTATTAAAGGGCACACATTTATATATATGCGGGCTTGGCCTTATAGAAATCAGGTCCCTTTAATATATATAAATGGATATAATGTTGTTGTTTGATTTAAAATGGGCATCATATAAACCAACTGATACGTATGATCTACTGTGGTTTACAATACAGTGATAATTAACAAAGGGAAAGGTTTCTATATTGTCTCTACAACATAGAAGATCTATGCTTCCCTTACCATCCAGCCATCCAATTATGATCAAGAGAGTTACTTACCGTTTGATCATAGATCTGACGTCTCAAAGTAGTTTATTTTTAGTTTTTTATAAATAAATTATATCAATATGAAATTCGATACATGTCATCTTCTCATTGGGGCACATGTATAAAAAATGTTAAAAAAATTTTTTCGATAAAATACAATGACCAGAATACCCCTTAAAACTTTCAAGGGTATTTGGTCATTTTATTTTATTGGAAATATTTTTTTATATTTTTCGATAGTGCGAGGTTAATAGAGGATTGGACCTGCAAAATTTGATGTCAAAATAGTTTATCGAAAAACAATTAAAAATAAAATAGTGCAGAGACGTGACATTGTAATTGGGCCAATCTTAGCCCTCCATTCAGAATGGATGGTTGGATAAACAGAAGTATATAAGTTTTATGTTGTAGGAGAAGCATAGAAAACTTGCCCATTAATAAAAGGGAACTTGTAAAATAAAAGCTATCTTGAAAGTAGTAACTTAAACTAAATTATAGATTTAAAATTATACAAATTTTAAGCTATGCTTAGTTCTAGAACCTCTTCTTTCAAATTTAAAATAAAGCATTATTAATGAGTAAACATTTTCTTAATTTTTGTTATAAAAGAATTTGGTATCTATGTATCCATTGTATATTAAACCATCTTTAAGGGTTGGCTATGTAACATTGCATTTAAATGAACTAGCAAATGAAGGAAAGAGAAGTGCACTAGGTTTAAGGATATACAATGGGATATTAAGATAGTTACCCTGAAAAGCTCACTCCTAATAAACATGAAAAAATGGGTAGGGTCTGCTTTTCCCTCTTAATTATTCAAAAAAAGAAAAAAAAGAATGCATATGATTTTTAAATTTTTATTACTCCTATATATAGTTCTAACCAGTGTTACCTTTATGGTAATGAGGTTACAATGATCTTATGAGATTCGGAAATGACCCACAGTGATAAAAATATTAAGAGAGAGTTAATAGATAGAATCCTATAATATATGCTTATTTAGCTAAAGAGTCTTAGCACTACCAATGTTGACAAAGAATATAAAAGAAAACTTATTTTGTGAGTCATATAATCACAGTGACAGTCATCATCATACAGTTCATCACCATGCATTCAATAGATTGGATGGTGATAAAAAGGAATAGTTTTCACCATATATTCAACTAAAAATCGAATTGAATATTATATATCTACTCCTCCTCCAATACTCTTCAAGACAGTGATAACCTCGTCATTGTAGGGCTATTACAATAATATAGATCATATTGTGAATAGAGTGTGGTTTGTACAAGGTTACTTTAAACAATCAAATTAAGGCGTATCTCCAAATTTTATCATAAATATAATTTTGGTGTCAACAATTTTTATGATTGTTTGATAATCTATTTTCATTTCTAATAAAACAAATGAAAGAATTCTGATTCTATTAGCCAAACAATTGATTTTCAAATCTATAAGAATTTAAAAATACAAGTAGATAGCCAAACAGGCACAATAAATGAATACAAGACATTTTGGGTTATCCTATGATCTCTATATATCAAAATGCTATGTATAAAAGCTAAGAATGCCTTTCTTCAAACTTCCAAAATCCTGAATAATCAAACTGTATTTCTATCCAAAAACCAAATTTCGCTAGAAACCTAATCCCTAATCACCAAATTTTAGGAATTTTGGTTTTTGGAAAATGCTTTATAGATTTTGTTACTTTTTTAAAACAGTTATAAAACTTGCAACCATAACAATGGAAATCAATAATAAGCTTTAACTCTGTAAATATGGTTGTTTCCTTGCCTTTCTCTCTCTCTCTCTCTCCCTCCAAATTAAGATGTGCCTATGTAATCTGTATTTGACATAAAAATTACAGAATTACGCCTCCAGACTTCATCGACCTTCTCATCTCTCCTCGTCTCCCCAAGAATTTATGATATACAAAGAAAACAGAAAGCAATCCTCTTCTGTCTTTTTGTTTACAGCTAAGTCGCTACTTCAACGCATGTGCCACCAACTATTTCTTTGCTATGTTGTTGTAGAGGCATAAAGGTTAGTGAACATATGGACAGCCAAGGTACTTTTGCAATCACATGTCAGTCCCATCTGGGCCGTCCATTCTAGTACCAAATATTATTAGGGTGGACGATTCTCCACCTGCAAGTGTCGTGCAAGGCACATGGCATGGAGCATGCTTTTATATAATAGAGCACACGTAACATAGTGCTTGGTGGGACCTACTCCCATTGGAATCATCCGACCGTCCATTGGGGGAGGGCCCCACAATCATGTCTTGGATGTATTGTGACGAGAGCTGAGAATTGGTCCAGAAGTCCATTTCACAGCAGACACTGATGAAGATTCCATGAGAGGGTTCACACTTCACCCTGGAGTGACTGAACTAAATCATGAAGTTGAAGCAAAGTTCCACATGTATATGCAAGAGAGAGAATGTCTTTTTTCTAATTAGAGAGAGGAGAAAGAAACCCTGTTTTTTTTTTTTGAGGAATGAATTATTTCAACAATGTAGCCATGGAAAAGAATGAACCAATAGAATCCTACTTCCTACTGTGTGTGAGAGAGAGAGAGAGTACTTTCTACGGCGTGTGAGTGAGAGAGAGAGAGAGGATAAAAGCTCCAACAAGGATTAATACAGAAAGGACATCGAAAGATGAGGTAAGCCAACAAAGAAGAGCTACAGCATAGGTTTTATCTTAATATGGAGTCAATAAAGAGCATGTGAAGCACATGCCTTTCTCAGGGAAGGAAGACAAAAGAACAACAGATGCTCTGCAAGGAAAGGATGAAGTTGATGACTGTAACTTGAACTACCACTGCAAACTAACAACCAAAGCCACTGCCAAAACTTACCTCCACCTTCTTTTCGCACAAAAAACAACTAGAGTACCAATCAGGATTCACTAAAATCCAACCAACACATTCATTGTTACTATTCTCAAAAATCAAATCGGGAAGGCCTCTATTTAGAGCAACTGAGACAGTAAAAGAAATTCACCATTTTAGGGAAAAAGGAAAAACCCAGGAAAAAAGAAGAACTAGATATGAGTCGTGGGGCGCTTCTGAAGTTCGATCAGAATCGATAGCTAGGTTATATTTTTCCTGCAAAAACTCAACAAACAATGCACGCCATTTATTTTCGGAAAGCAAAACTATGTACATTGATAATGAGAGTGAATTCCGGAAAACAAAAAAAATGTTTTAAATTTTCAAAATGACAAGCTTCCATTTTCGTACTGGGGAACCAATGACGATCAAGACCACTATCGTTGCAGTCACTCCGGATTCCAAATACAGGCCCAACTAACAGAGTATAACAACAAAATAATAACCATCTAAAGCCAGCATGACCACTCAGTAGGATAAGAACTAGAAGGATGCAGATACTGACAATCATTTGTTTAAGTGAAGAGAGAAAGAAGCAATCCCCTAAAAGGAAAAGAAAACTTAATTATATTGATTCTCACTATCAATTTACAGAAGCATATAGAAAGAAGAAACAGAAATCTACTGATACTGTCGCTCATTTAAATTGAGAGAGATGAAACAAAGATGAGAGAAACAACAGTGTATTGATACTGGTTATCGATTTACAGAAGCATATAAATAAGAAAACTGGTAGCAACAGTACAAATACAGCCATGACCAAATGCTACAAGTGTGACAACAAAACCAAAGCAGATAATGCTCTGCAAACACAAAAAGGAACAACAAAAAAGACCCAACGACAATTAAGAGAACCCCCCCCCCCCCCCACTTCTCACATAATCCAAAGCCCAACACTTATGGCTTGTTTTTCTTCTTCAGCAAACTGCCAAACCTACGCAATAATGCCTTCTTTTTCTTCTGCTCCTGTTGCTTCCTTATCGGTGAGCTCCCCCCATTTTCTGTGCTTTCTGATTTTGTCCCTTCCATATGGTCCAATCCTTCACTCTCAACCTTCGATTCCAAATCATAGTCCACTGATTCAGATGCATCCTGACCCTCTGCAAATGATTCCTTTTCAACAACCTTGCAATTTTCCCATTCATTTACATTGAAATTTGCAGTCTCAAGTTCGCCTCCATGTCCATTTTCAACTGCTTTCTTGGGATCGATAAAACTGAAACCCATGGCTGGATCTTCTTTCGCTTCTTCTTGAGGGTCTTCTTTCGAGATATCTGCAGCGGGTTTTTCCACTACCCTCTCAAAATCTGTTTTTTCTTGCAACATATCATAATCCTTCTCACTAGTTGAGAGTCTGCCATTTTCTTCTGATTTTCTAGGGGATTTGACTTCTAGAAGCTTAGACAGTTCTTGGCATTTCTCTAGAGCCGCGACTTCTCTGATCTGGAGCTCTTCATTTTCTTGGGAAATACTCTGTAGCTCATTCTCTTTGTCTAGTAGGAACTCCTTTAGCCTCAAATTCTCGGATTTAGAACACTCCACAGTTTCTCTCACCAAAACCACCTCATTTTCAGTTTGCTTTAGCAGATTCAGAAGCCGGGTGTTATCTTCCTTGAAGGACATGGCTTCTTCCTCAGCTTCTCTTAGTGTCTTGGCAAGCCTTTCAACCTCTTCTTTTGCTATGGATATTTCCTCTTGTGTTTTGTTGATTATGCTCAAATTATTAATCTCTCTCTCCTCATGATCAGACCTCACCTTTTCTGCTTCTTGATTGGCTGTTTCCACCTCTTTCTTGAGATGTTCAATCTCTGTCTTAGCTTCATCCAGCATTTTCATATATTTCTCCTCGGTGGTTATAAGAACCACCTTCAAATCCTCTAATTCTGATTTTACCTCTACAAGCTGAGCTCGAGTTACAGTGAGTTTTTCTTTTGCTTCTCGATTCTCTGACCCAACTTCATGAAGGGCGGATGCTAAATCATCCATGGCCTTCTTATTCCTATCCCCTTCTTCTCTTGCTAACTTCAACTCATTTTCAAGGGTCTTCTTCTTCTCCAAGAGGCTTTCTATGCTCAAAGTGGCAGACCTTTCATTGTCTTGAGCCTGCAAAAGGCTTTCTTTCAAGCTTCCAAGTTCAGAATTTAGAGATTTGATGGCCTTCTCCATGGAAACAGCCTCAAGCTTTGCAGTTTCGAGATGCCTATCTGACTCCTCAAGATCCCCCCTGTGTTTTCCAAGAGAGATCTCCAAAGATTCGACATTTACCTTGAGAGAAGTAATCTCAGATTTTGCCTCCTGCAAAAGCCCATTACTCACCTCCAACTGTTTCACAATGGAGTCAAGAGTTTCAGAAGCTGTTTTCTCCGATTCCTTAACTCGTTGAACCACATGCTCCAAAGTCTCTACTTTGTTCTTCATTTCATCGACCACTTCTAGAGCTTCAAATTTGGAACTTTGAGCGTCATCAAGCTCAAGCCTCAGCTTTTCAACCAGAGCCTCTGTTTCCACATATCTACTCGCTGATTCCTTAGCTATAGCAAGCTGTTCCTTGAGTGATTTAATTTCCAAATTCAACTGGATCATTAATTCTTCAGCTTCTTTTGCCTTGAGCTCCCACTCTGAATCATTCAAGGCCTTCTCTTTATCAGCAGCCGCCCAAGAAGCTTGAGCTTCATCAAGAGCCCCTCTTACTCGACGCAATTCAGCTGATAAAATCTCCACCTTCTCAGCATTCATCTCTGCAATTTTCATTGCATCTTCAGCATGACTCAGGGCCGTGTTCTTGGCCTCTAAGACCATTGCAAGCTCCTGTTTTACCCTCTGAAGCTCTTGAGTAGCAGAGAGAAGAGAGGCCACGTCCAGTGCGTGTTGCTCTCTGATAGCCTCAAGCTCTTCCCGCCATTGCTGCTCCTTCTTTTGAGCTGCTTCAATGTTGGATTGCTCCATCTCATCAGCTCTGAATTTCTCTATCTCTGAACTCTCCTCTGCTCTTTTTTGGGCCACCAGTGCCTCACTGAGCCTCGAATGGGCCTCCTCTGCGCTTTTCTTAGCCTCCTTTAACTCATCGAGAGCTTTGGACTTCTCAAGCTCTACTGCTACTAATTGTTCTCTAACCTTTTTCAGATCTTCTTGAACCTGATTCAATTGCTGCTGCAACTCTGACCCTTTGGAAACCACTCGTTTCTACGAAGCAAACCAGCAAAGTTTAATGGAGATCTTAAAAGCTTCCTTTATTTCAACAAGGCATTCTCTATAACTTCAAATTTAAATCAAATGGGCATTCTTTTAAATAACCTTATTTGATAAAATATACAGATGAACTGAACAAATCCACATTTTTCTCAGTTTTTTGTATTGGACATGGAATTTAATATGGTTTCTATAGCATTCATCTTAAATGCAAAAAAGATATTACAGATTTTACTACTAGCTCGATTAAGATGCTTGATTCACTTATTGTTCTGGATATCATCTCGAAAGAATTGTCCGATACAATTTAGGATCTGAAATGGAAACAGGTGATATCTCAACATATTAAATGGAAAATGATTCATCAAAGGTGTGAAACACAAACACTAACAAAACACAAGCAAACAAGATAAAAATATGGCAAAGAAATTCAATTCCAGGCATGTGATAGGATATTGCATGACAAAAAGCATACAATTCTAATAAGCCAAAGAAGGAAAGGACGAGCACCATTAACACTTATTTATTAAGTGAAAGTGGAAAGTCATTCTGATAGAAGAATTGTGAGGCATATGGTTAAGATCACAAATGACGAACTCTAATTATTAGTATCTCTTGACTTGGGTATGATCAACATGTTCCTTATTTCTTTATTTCTTTCTTTTTTATGAAATTGAAATGAAAGGTATATGAGTGAGACACAACCCACTAATTGATTGATTCGTTTTAGATACTATATCATTGTCTCATCTACTATCAATAGAATATCTCGGGAGCTAATGATACTATCTTAGTATTTTCAGATGTTTCAATGCCTGCCAAGAAACAAAGAAGACCATGGTAGAAAGAGATTGTGCAAGGAAACTCTGAAGACAATTAGAGTAAAATGCAGAGAATTGAGAGTATATAATTGGCTCCCAAAGAGTGCAAGACACTGATATCAATATTGGCTCCCGAAGGCGATGCAAGAAATCCAAAGTAACCTGAAGATGATGGTGTAATAAACTACGACGACTATAGGCCTACACCATAATTCCCATAGAACTCGCAATTGTTGGGTTCTCCTTTTTATTTTTCTCCAAATGATGGTAATTATCAATGCTTGACATAAATGGTGATCAGCGCAAGCATTTCACCAAAAGATAGAAGTAAAATAAATGATGCTTCCGAATAGGATCTACAATGATCTAATCAAAGATTGAGGTATATGGTTTATATTTACAAACTAAATTAGGTCGATTCCTAATATTTTCAAGTCAAGAAAGGAAAATGTCTAAAACCTACCCAAAATAGAACAAATGTAGTAATCATTAATGTCATCTTTTGAAAATTCAGGGTGTTTGCTCTGGTTTTAAGAAAGATTCAGGAAATCATGGGGACAAAGAGCAGTAAAACAAAAATTTCTCGCAAATATACCCCCAAAAAATTCTAAACAGAATACTAAAAAAAATGGCAATTATCAGTTAGATATATGTTAAAGGCATAGCTTAACAAGACAACTTACCTAACTATCTTTAACAGTTCCCAAATAAATATCTGATCTGATTTATTTTTTTTTTTGGGTTCCATTTTTCATAAAATTGTTTTGCTCAATATCTATGCCACAATTTCCATTAAAAAAAATCTCTAAGTAGTCACAGACAGATAATAAGCCATGGGGTACAAGCATTTCACCTCTGGTGTGGTGATCTTTGGGGTTCGGCGATCCAACGGCTTGGAATCAACTGATCTCGGTGACTTATCGACCGAATGCCTACCAGGGTGCAGAGAATCAGAGTCTGATCCCACTGATGATCCCCTTGAAAATCTGCTACTCCTCGGAGTAGCAGGACTGCTTTTGTGTGGAGTTTCAGAGAGCCCAGATCTGCGAATTCCATATCCAACAGTTAGAAAACTAACAAAAAAAAGTGAAAAAGAAGAGAAAAATAAGCAACCCAAATTGAAACACGAGAAACTCAAAGAGAAACAAAACAAACCCATCATAAAACAGAGACCCATCACTCTAATCACATCTGAGAATGCAATGGGGAGAGAGAGAGAGAGAGTTACTTGGATTTGGAAGAAAGCATGGTTGCAGGTATAAAACAGGAAATGGGTTGTGTTTTATATGTTATTTGGTTGCAGGAGAAGGTCCTAAGAGAGCCACATTCGAAGAAAAAATGGAGATTTTGGCTCTGCAACAAAACTTAGTTTAGAGAGAGAGAGAGAGAGAGAGAGAGAGAGAGAGAGAGAGAGTATATATAGTAGTGTCTGACTAGTAGACGTACCAAGTAAGTAAGTACGACACGTACGTACCGTTAACTTTACGTTACGAGTAATAGTAGAGGTCGGTA